AAACAGGAACTCGGCGACCGTAGAGCATAGGGTGAGCAGATCAGAAACTATCAACAACGGTACCAGGAAAATTTACTGAAACCAGAAGATTACCCCATGGAACTCAGAAAACCGTTTTATGTATATAGTAGCCAACTCGATTTCAACGCAAGCGGTATTATAAGACAGAAGGTAAGTCGAAGACTTATTGGTCCACCAAGTATAAACTATAATTACACATCAGTTTGATTATGTGATTCTTAGCTGTTTACTGTCTATGCACTAAAAAGTCTACAAATAACGGAAGTGCAACATAAATCAATACTTCTGATGGTATCGCTTCAGTCTTCTGTCAACAAACCAAAGTCTGAGCCACGACACGTCTTGTTGCCTCCAACGAGCAGGAAACTGATTTGAATAAACTTGTTCACTGAACTTTCACAAAATTTTTACCATCATTAACAACCAGGTTTTCCGCTTCGCTTGCCCTATACAGTGCTTTCTATAATGAAGGTTGAAAAGGAATTAAATTCTACAGTAGTCGAAGTTGTCAGTCGATATTTTGTGTAATTATTTTAATGAAACAATGAACTTCCGAGCCTTCACTTCTTTGTAGTGTCGCAACAAATATACGCAGTGTCCTACCAGAGGCACCAATTGCGTAAGCAGTGTCTGAAAACTTGTAGTGACCCGTTTTATTAATCATCATCGCAGTATACTTTCACTATGTAATTGGACTTTGATTTCTTTATCACTCTAAAGATTGCGTGTTAACAATTGATACTTTTGTACTCGCTCGATTTTTGAATTTTGATTGCTGCAATAATACACTATCGTATTCCTTCGCAAGTGACTTTTGAATTACGTTGTGAATGTCGAGTAATCGCAACGTTAGGACACAACTATAAACGCGAAGAAGTACGAAGATATACGTGTACGCCAGTTAAGTCAAAATATAGCAGCACAACAAACTGGTTGGAGAGGTACATTTGTAGTCCAAAACCTCCAGTGCCCTTCCAAGCTTAGAAATGGTCCCTTTTCTACGATGCTGTGCTGGGTTGCATCAGTCATTGCACAACCAGTAGGCAGGTGGTTTGTAACAACTTGTCTATGCTGTAGGCGTTAAGTTGGTGCATATATTGTGAAACCAGAGGCTACATTTATCATACTGCCTGTCACCCCCGAAAGGAAAGTGACGCATTAGTCTTCCGTAAAAGGTGTTTCCCACAGCCGTATTTCTCAAGTCAAATTGGTAATTAAATAACCCAGGAAACAACAATTAGGTGATGGAAAATGAGAGCGATTGAATTCGACAAAACTGTGAATAAATGGAAAACCGAAGGTGACGAAGACACTTTCTAAAAGTAGATAAACAGAAAACTTGTAAAACAAAATAACTTCATTAAGAGTAATTCGAGTTAAAGTTTATGTATAGTCTTTTGTGGTTTATAGCACAACAAAATTTGAAATTAAACACGGCAGTGCAAAACTCACACCTTTTTAAAAGTTCACATACCTCGGTGTGGAAGTTTTTGCCGTATCCCACGTCATAAATTAGACGTACTTCTGATTTTGCACTCACCATATCGACTGATTTATGAGGTTTTCAGTTGCGGCGGGAACCGGATGAAAATCAGACGGAGCACAAGAGCCAACGGATGAACATCAACGGATCCATGTACTTACAGTACACTGGCGTAGAGAGATGACTTGCAGCCGTCACATCTATCGTAAGAGCTTTACCACTGGTGCCACCATTAACTTATTGCTTCTTGCTGGTTTCGTCTCAGGGTCCTTGAGACTTCACTAGGGGATGAGTGAGCTCCAGTAATAAATATTTTCCCAAATTATTAGTTTACATCTTACTTCATTCAATATAGGATGCTGTTCTCAACTATTTAAATCAACTTGTCAACTTGAAAACATGCGGTCAGGCATCCGCACCATTTGTCACATTCTCATGTTACGTTTGGCCCCCTGTGCACGATCCCTAGCTGACTGAGAAAACATCATTGCACAACGATTCTCGTCGCTAAATTTATCTCCTAAATCGAGCAATCCTCCTGGTGTTTTAATTTTTCTTTGTTCTATGCATAACAAGCACTATGGGAGTTGGAAAATAAGAAATTAACTTTATATATAGCGTAACTTGCTTATTAGTCGAGATTCCAAAGTCTTGTTGATCTTTAGGCTTTAGAAGTTGCATACATTTAGTCATTCACTTCCATATTTTACTTATTTTTTGAAGGAAACATTTATGAACGTATGGTTAACGGTCGAAAAGCTTTAGGAATTTTCTTGACGACATTCTACTTCGCACTGCTTGCCAGTTCATTGTTGATAAGTTGTAGTTCTTGTTGTCCTATAAACACGATACAGGGTGATTTTTTACCTCATACTTTGTCACTGGGCATCTTGAAGTTTTAAATTTGGCTTCGTGCTTCAACACTGAATGTTGAGTTGATTGCTTATGTACTGAAACGATTACCTGCCACATGTTCCAACCATTCGACTGTTCTCGGTGAAATGAGCAAATTTTAACTTCAGTCCTCTAAAAATACACTGATAAAAACTGATTGCAAAGTGATTGCTTCTCAGTTCACTGTTTTTCAAGGAAAAAAAGATGAATAAATGAAACGCAGAAACACATATCTTTCAAACTGACAGTGTTCGACAGTCTTCATCTTTTAGCCATCTTTCTCGTATGCTCACCAAGTCTTTGATTATATTTGACAGTAATCATTTCCCAAACACTAGTGAACAACTTTACATCAAGTAATGGAAGACCAGAAGACGGGGGTTGGGTGGAGAAATCGTTACCACAGTAGATGAACTTGAGAAGAGGGTAAGATCTAAAGATGGACCTGAGTGCTGTATTTCTAACTGTTTTGTCAGACACTGATACTATGCTTAGTACACTGTTTTTCATTTTTGTGTAAATCAGATAATTTTATTTTGGGTATAAGACTGATGAATAACTCTTGTTTGAATTCGCTTCCGCACCAACCGTCGTTCATATTTTTTCGCGCAGTACATTTTTTGTTTGGAATTGAAGGTTCATTATATGGTTGCCCGATACGTTTCTTGAATCAAAAATTCTTTCTGTGTCTTCGACGCCATCGTTTCTAATATAACTGTCTTTGGAACAACAGGGTTCTTTGGTGTGATTGTTCCACTGAAGTGTGAGAGTTCATTTTCTTTTTTGCTAGTTATCGACCACAACAATGAGTGAAATAAACCAAGCGGTGAAGAAGGGTGTGCAGAGAAGTGCTAGAGCAAACTTTTCTACGTCACACTGGTAACGAAAGCAGGACAGGGTGCCGGTGAGACTACAAAACACCGTGTCAAATAGCCAGGTCCATTTCCCACAAGAGATCTGATTAGATAAAACCAATGAAAGATAGTAAAGAAAACCTAAGAATCGCCACACCAATGAACTAGAATGACTCTTGAATCTACCACTATGTACAACTCCTCCAGAAATACCACGAGCAAACATGGCACTGTCAGTGGACGTACACGATCAGGAGAAATCAGGAGTCTAGAAGTCCTTATACTTACTGAAAACAGGCTAAGCAGAGTGGCGGGATGAAATGCGCATGAAGGCATTGAGATTGCACCCAGGACCCTCAGCGGACACTGGGAAGGGTGTATAACAAATAGTGTGTACCCGCCGATTGGATGAAACCTTTCCTAGACTGGTTGCCAAAGAAAGACGTCTTAAGCCTTATCAAGAAGTCGTGTGGCAACATGTATCGGTTCACCCCGGATGGCAAGGGCTAGGCGAGTGAAAGTCTTGCCTCAGGAGTATCCTAGTGATCTGAGAAGCTTCGTGTCATATAATGGGAACACTTCAGCGTCAAAAGAAGATATGACGGGAACCTGAAGGCAGTACCTTGCAACGTTTGGTGTGCTCGCCATTAGCTAATAAGTCTATATTCGATAAGCCGTGATTGGATGCCCCCTGTATTAAACCCCGGTTAGACAACCTACAGACTCAATTATGCTGGGTTTAAAAGAGTGTCATATCGCCTCCCACGAAACCTCCTCCATTAGTGGTCGCTTTAGGCCCGGAGAAAATGGTGGAACAAAACACGTGATCAGCTGACAATCCGACATAAGGGTGGGACCAGATAGAACAGTATTCTTAGGTGAGGCATCTGACCAAGAAGAGGACTATGGCAAACACACAGGTACGGGCATACGCAGTATTCTGGCACTAGTCACCATTTAAGCTGGTTGGAGTAATCTCGGAGTGGGGTAACACCATAAACCAACCTCACAAGGTTTCGTAGAAGCAAGAAATAAGTCCTAAAGACAAATATCTAGTGGGATTGACCCAAAAAATTAATACTAGAAGGGCGTCTTCGCGTGTTTTTCACACGAAGAAATGGGTTAGGTACTGAAACGTTACCCATCAAAAGTAAATAAATGGTTATTTTCGTTGTTCCTGTCCTTAAGGTACTTTTCCGATTATTTCCTTAAATTTCATAGTGTATTTGTTGATTATTATAGTTAACGTCATAAGGCTCCACGGTTATTTTCTGCTGTATGATGAAAAACGGCGTTATTTACTATTAACGATTGCACGCCATTGAAATAAACTGACATACTTCCTTCTCTTGATTTGAGTAAGGATACGGCGGTCGATGTCATAGACTAACCTCTTGAAATCTAGAAAACTCCTAAAACATCAAGAGGAGAACTCCGATAAATCAACTTTATAGAACAGATACCACAAATAGGGTTGGCTGAATTGTCTTTGAGCAGTCAATCTAAATCGTCATCTGGAAAAACTGGCATTAATTGTATAAGAACGTTATTTGCGCCAAATATATGGTAAAATGAATTAACAGAAGGTTCAGATCTATTGTGTGGTTCATAAACATGTCACAGCCTCTCACAAGCAATGTAACTGTCATATAAAACCAGTTTCGCTACCCTCATTCATTTGGAAGGGCATTGGGAATTGGATATTTGTATCAGCGGTAATTTTGCACTTCACGTAACAGTTCAGCGTGATGGAGCATATGCCGTTATCAGAGTTGAGTTTCCAGCTTTCTCGGGATCCTTTGTCATATCGATCAGATGTAAGCTTAAATTTTTAATATTTTTGTAGTTTGAGGCCCAGCTGGAAAGCTATACCACACTAAGACAGTCTTTTGCATCTGCTCCCTCTCAACATATTAGCCGTCTTGAAGAGCTTTTATTATTTTTGTCTCAGGTTGTTCGCTTAAATAAAGTCTTATTTCCTAAAAGGTCGTAAAGCATTACCCAGATCATGTTGGGGAGTTTGCTTCCAGTGTAATTCAAACACTACTGTCACGCGCATTTGGTATGCATCCCGACATGCGTATGGTAATTTTTACAAACTAATTTATATCTGTATTCAGGCTTTCTTAAGAGCGTTTATGCGCCTTCGAACCAAAAATCTGATACCGGCAGCACAAGCGGTTGATGTTGCTTTCAAATTACACAGATGTCATGATAAACAAGTCAGAAAAACTTTACGTCACTTTCTAGTAAGTGATATTAAAAGAATGAACAAAAGCCAAAAGCAAACTAAAGTTAACGCAGTAAGTTGTATGTTTTCTATTCGACAGGAGTTTCAGGTCATCCTTACATTCCTTTCAAAGATGATAAAGGATAACAGCTCGACTGTAGCACGTGAAGCCGTGTTAATATTATTGTGCCTGTTTAAAAAGAATGTGTGGAATGATGCACGAACTGCCAATACTATTGCAGACTCATGTTTGGTCAACAAGAAGAAAGTAATTTCACATTTTCCGCTCTAACGTTTGTAGGTATACGTCCCCGCTGTCCAGTTTTTCTTGGGGAAGATGAAGGCAATTGGTGAATTGGAAAGTAGCAGTGATTCCGAATCAGATGTTGTAAGTGGCTCCGTACTGATATTTGAGTTTTCTTTTCCAAGAATGAATGTTTGCTTGTTGGTTATTATGAGAGCTTTAGTTCACTAAACATCTAAGCAGCCTTTGCTGTTGTGTAAGATTTTTCGGATTTAGTCTTTGCATCGATCAGTTCAAATACAGCTTCATAAATGTGATGGCTTTTTTTATAAGGCATCCATTATCTCAGCTACTATTTTTTCCAAAGATGGTATGTATATTCGATTATTCTTCGAAACGAGTATTACTATCGTCCCCCTGATAGTTATCTCTTTAACTACGAAAGTATAGTGTTTTCATAGATAAGCTGAACGTATAAATTCCTCTCAGGTCTTTGTTTTGTCATCTATTAAGCGACCATCATAAGTATACGTATTAATTCATGACTGGAAACACTTCCTAACTTAACATGTTTATAATGGGATAATTGATTGTTAAGTTGCTATATTTTACATGACATTGGACTTCGTAACGTATTCACTGAGTCCAACAATCTATTTATTATCCCACAAAGGAGTTTATTTTTATGCTTATCTTATTATAATTCCCGAAGGATTAAATTCACTTGACAGGACATTGAAAAGTTATGTCTCTAAGATGTTGCATCGAGTATCTCCAAACGAGAAAAAACAAAACTTCCTGCCTCCTCATTTACACTGCTTCTTTCTAATTTTCCGTTGAGGAAATTCCAAAAGCAGCTCTGAAGGATGTTCATGTGTCAAAGGGAAATATTAAAATAAGACACTTTAAAAAATACCACATTACTCCTAATGTTAGTCAAACTCGTCGAGCATCTTACACATAAGAGTAACTTTTTGGGGGACATTGAGGATGTGTCAGTTGACACTATCTGTTGCACAGTGTAATTCAGTAGGGGCTTGTTTCTGTGTTGTGATAACGTTTGCCTGGCCGTCAAGCTTTAGAAGTAAACGTGAGTCGAACAAACTTAGGACACTTGGATCTTCTTGTCATTCCTTACTTAGCATTGCTTATTAGTACTACTTACGTCGTACCGTATATTTTAGAAAATACTTTCATTGGTCGTGTGCACCGCGATGGCGAGTCACCTGGTATGATGACCATATTGCAAACGACTGATATAGTTCAGTCCGCACCAACCCAAGAACTAGATGCATAACTTTGGTTACCACTTAATGACCAACCACAATACCCAATACAGTCTTGGAGAAGGTCAATCGTAACACCTGTGACTGTAGCACTGGGTGACGCGTTCGAGTCTCATAGGTGACATAAGTTGCTTTAAGGATGCAGATACGTCCTACTTAGCAGCGTCAACAAACACGAAACCTAGGTGCGGGACTTCCTATTGCTTGTCTTTAACATCAATACTGGAAAACAGTTTATCCTAAAAATCAAATTTGCAATTATCTAATTAGTTCGCAGTTCACATCGTTGGTGAGCTTGTATGTACCCTAATAAGCGAAATGTCCGTCCAGTGTTTACACCACTTCGATTTGACTGGGAAGCAGTGCTGGTTCATATGAGTGGTATACAATTACTTATCTCAATCAACAGTGTGTAGTTTATGGTATTGTTAGATAAGCTAAATTATTCAATTTCCCTTTTTCATAGTTTGTGTGAATCGTCATAAAAAGGGTCTTTAGAAGTTGAAAAGGTCCATAAAATGGTACCCTATAAAATAAATAATATCATTCAGATTTGTATGTGTGATTTTGGCTTCTGAAATTTCCATAGAGGTAAATGGGCGTTTTTGTCTCATCATGACTTTCTGTTGATTTAATTACATATCCACTTCACAGGATGAAGAGACCAAGATTAAACAATTGCGCATGGGTCATCGTGTCGGCGCTAAGACAAAAGGACGTCAAAAGCGTCTTGAACGATCCATTAAAAATGTTAACAAAGAAAAGGAAAGGAAAGTGAAAAAGCGTGCTGAATTAACCAATTTCCATGCTTTAAATATGTTACACGATCCACAAACGTTTGCTGAAAAACTTTTTCGAAAACTGGAGCGTTGTTCAGATCGTTTTGAGATTCGTTTGCTTATTCTCGACCTGATTAGTCGACTTATTGGATTGAATAAACTCATTTTACTGAATTTTTATCCCTTCATACAACGATTCTTACGTCCACAACAAAGAGGTTAGAGGTTATTTTTGTACAATTTTATGCTAGTTTGTAATTCATGCAGTTGTCTATATATATATATATATATATATATATGTATATATATATGTCATAATCAAATACTTGCTCTGGGATATTTCAGGAATGTTTCTTACATTATCATGGTATAATAGCATTTGTGTTTTATTGCTAGACCTTGTTTACCTGGGAGAGATTTATCATGACCCAAATGTGTTGTGAAAGCTTGCAATACTACTCATTTGCTCAAGCCGAAGTAATTGCAGTGTCACTTCAACCAGGAACCCATCCATTGAATGTTGAGTGCCCAAACCGTTGAGTCACATCTCCATCGTATGGAGTTTACTGTATACAGTATAAACAGTTTAGTAAATTTCGGTAAAATTAGTTCACGAGTGTTTTAGAAAGGTGCATGTTAATGGACTGTGCGTCGTTGGCACGTCGTAGGACGCTCGCTCACCACGCACATGGTTCGGGGTTCGATCCCCGGCCACTGACGCACTCCTTTACCTCGCTAAGCTAGAAATAAAACTGGTGAAGACAAAGGGTTGGGTATGAGGTTAACAACTCCATCCTGTGAAAATAAACACTACTACAGAAACTTCAAGCCTCTAGCTTCAAACCCTGTGTTCCACTGGGAACGTAAAGGAATGAAAAAAAGCAAAGGCAATCTGTCTCAAGTACTCCAACCAGGCAGTTTACTAGTAAGTGTTCCTCTTCATTTACAGGAAATTAATCGTGTAGTATCTGTTGAGAATAAGATTCCAAAATGTTTATGTAATTGTAACATGTCTTTAATGTCATCACAGTATTTCTAATCTACGCTGACGCATTTCTTCGTCTTTCTACTTCGTTTCCGTAGAAATTACTCACCTGTTACTGTACTCGGCGCAAGCTAGCCACGACCAAGTTCCACCAGATGTAAGTCTTCATTCATTCATTGTACACTTGCTTCTTGCTCTTACACAATATTTGATACTTCAGTAGAGTTATTTTTGACAACTGATTATATTTTCATTATCTCACCGGTTAACTGTCTTTACGTATGTATTGTCCGTCGTTAACACTGAACGAATCAGAAGAAGTACTTTTATTATAGCATGCTTGGCAGCATTTTTGTAACAGCATAATTTCTCAGCAAACATACTATTGTATACGCGTTTACTTTGAAACCAATTGCAATAACACTTAAATTTAAACACTTTTAACTTCAAAATATGTCATCGCCTCGTTATACGGTCTCCATTTCGCCCTTGGATCAACACCAAACTTATCTCTTCCTATTCAGATTCTATTCGAGGCCCCGGCGCATGATACCACTCAAGTTTCCTCAGCATGTGTCCAATCCGTCTTCATCTCCTTCTGCATATTTCTGTCGGGTAAAGGGCTTTTGGTAGCTTCGTTGTCAGAGTTCCTTGTTGACAATCTTTTCTTTTGGTCATCTAACCTCTGGTATGGAGTGAAGGCGTTTGTTTATAAGGGTTTGAAGTCTGTTCGAAATGCTTTTCGTGACACGCCAAATCTTTCAACCTTATAGAAGAACGGGGGACCCGAATCTTTTCCTTTATGCTGAGTGCAAAAGATCCCCACAGTGACTTCACAACAGTGAATGTCTATCTTGCTTTTTGCATCCTGTCTGACCTTGGCATCTTCGTCCGTGTCACCTCTGCAGTTGAAAAGATACTGCCCAGATGATAAGTGAAAAATGTGACCTCTTTCAAATTTCTCCTGTTGATGGTGATTACTGCTCGCTATCATTAGTTAGACATCTTCATTACCTTTTCCTTCACAACGTTCACTTGAAGTCCTATTGTCGCTGCTTCTACCGACAACATGTCGTTTGAGTTTGCTTCCCACTACACGAGAGCTTTCAATGCTATCAGTGACATCGTGGTAGCCACTCCATAAGTGTCTTCATGGTTGTCGTCTGGGTGACCAGAGTAGATTATTGAATCTCCAGTTAACAGTTTGGAGGGTATACTTTACAGATTCCTAGCAGTTTTACACCACACCTTCTTATTTCATTTGCAATCTGAGCAGCACTTTTGGCAAGCTTTAACCACTGTGCGAACATTCTATGTCGTCATCGAAGGAATACACATCAGCTGCTCTATGAAGTTTCCATAGGGGTGAAACTGATTTCCTTGGGGTAGGGTCTCTAGTCTTCATGTTTTTTTCCCAGGTTCAGGTCTGACTAGTAAACACTTATTATGTGAACAGGTATTTTAACACGTCGAAATGGAACAATTTCGATTTTATAACCAACAGTTATAAAATAAGTCTTTAAAATTTCGTTTGGAAAGCTGATTAATACTGTCAAATTACATTAATAATCGGTATGTTCCTTGGTTTAATGGTGATGACGACGTGGCGGTCTCAGAATTAGCTTTCACTATAAGAGATTTTGGATGTTGAAACAGGTGTAAAGATAACCGTTCCACTATTTTCTTGCGTTTATCAAAAGCTGATGAGTCTTAGATTTTTGAAATCTTAATCCTTCGCGTTCCGAGTGGGACACAGGACTTCAGTCTTGAGCTTTGAAATTTCGGCAGCAGTAGTGTATATTTTTTTGCGGGGTGAGATTGCTAACCTTACACCCAACTTTCCCTCTCTAATGGGCTTATATTACCCGCTAAGCGAGGTTAAGAAGGACAATCAGCCAAGGGTCGAACCTAAGACCACCTGCTTGATCGGCGAATATTTTACCAGTAAACCACCGTCAGTGAGTATTAAGCTACGAGTTATTTATCACTGTCTTTTTCAAATATACCAGTTGCTTTTTTGTGTTTAAATGTATTATCCCCTAAATGTGATATCCGACTAAAACTGGTAGTGATTTTTAAGGCAACCGTCGCCATGTGTTGCTACTGTGGCATGTGCTTCTGACAAGATTTATCAGTAGTATAGAAAGAGACGTTCATCGACACAAAAATATCAAATAGCCGGGAGATAGATATGGCATCAAAGAGAGAAAATGAACCGGTGTTGCGGCAACATATGGGAGACAGGAACAGAAGACGAAGAAACACAATACGAGGGGCAGAAGTAGTACAACACGGAAGATCCGTGCAAATGATGACTTGCATATATGGTGTATATGATTTCCCCACACGGAGGAATCAAATTCCACATAAACATTCCGTTACCAAGTCTCTTACACTACATGCGTGTAAACGCAAAACATGTAGGTCTTTCAATGGTAACATTATGTAGTAGATAGTGTTATTTGGAATGACAACGTCGTATCTCAGCACACTTGTCTTAGTCTCAAGCGTATGTAGTCTTCCACAATCAAACTGTCCAACAGTGAATCTTTTTTTTACTTTTGCTTTGGCAATTTTAGGGTATTACTGGCATTCAAATGAGCTGTCGTCAAGATTTGACAGAATAGTTCTAAAATATTTGGGCGCCGAGTGAGAAGTAGACATTGTATTTGTAAAGTCTCAGTGAGATTGAAATGAGTAATTCCAACATTTCCTGCGTTCGGCAATCTGGTCCGAACTTCTTCAGGGAAATTAATCGAAATTAACATAACAGAGGTTTATATATAAAAGGAACAACTCTTGTTTTTTAAACTTTGTCCAATCATGAGTCGTAAAACAAGTATCAACAAGTATAATAAACAAAATTGTATGAGCTGTCATCAAAATTTTGACCTCGGACTTACAAATATTGGTCTACCTTTGTTAAACACTTTAAACAGAGTGTGTATGTTTGTGTGGGTAAACAGTTGTAAAACATTTCTTAGCGTCTCCATAAAAAGTTATAGACAGTCGGGAATTTTGACCAAGTATTAATAATTAGTGATACATATCCATTTTTATTTATTAATAAGGATTTCCTATTCATCAGCTAACATCACGCCTTCATGTCCGTTCAAACTGTTTGTATCTAGAATTTTATGATTAGACGTATTTTCAAAATTATGGTGTTTAGGATTAGCGTTTAGTAGAAGCACCCTGTCGGACTAATTGCTTTGTCTTCTTTCTGAATATTGAGCTGCTTTATTCGACCTACTGGAGTTGTCAGTTGACTCGACAGCTACGGATTTAGGATATGCATTCTGTTGCAGACAATGGAGAGTGAAAACACCATGATTGTACCAATTACATAGTTTCTTTGTTAATTTAATTCGATTGCAAAATAATTCAAATGAAATAAAGTAGTTGACCACAGCTCATAAAATTTTGTTTATTATACTTGTTGATACTTGTTTTACGACTCATGATTGGACAAAGTTTAAAAAACAAGAGTTGTTCCTTTTATATATAAACCTCTGTTATGTTAATTTCGGTTAATTTCCCTGAAGAAGTTCGGACCAGATTGCCGAACGCAGGAAACGTTGGAATCACTCATTTCAATCTCGCTGAGATTTTACAAAATATAATTTTTTACAAATATTACTGGCATTGTTGATATATTGTTTCCCCAGTGAACCCGTCTTTCCTCTTTCCTAGGTGATAGAACCCTTAGTACGTGTGATTGCGGATAACTTTATTACCGAGCGTGCTTCATCCGAAGCAATAGCTGTTGGCTTAAATTCAGTCCGTGAAATATGCGCTCGTTGTCCGTATGCAGTTACACAGGATTTATTGTCAGATTTAATTCAGTATAAATCATATCGAAATAAAAATGTTGTCGCTGCAGCACGATCGCTTATTCGACTTTATCGTCAAGTAAGTCGTCTTTGTTTTTTTTTTTTTTTGAAAAGAAAATGCCGTGAAAAGAACATGCGTCATCCGTCCTTTACACTAGTGGTTTTTTTGAGGTTTTTTTTTCCATTTGAATTGTTGAAGGAGTCATTTAGGGGAGGAGTTGTGCAGTAATGTTTTTTCCCGCTGTCAACATTCCTTTATCCCCCTATATTGCTTAACGGGTTCATTATGTTTTTTCCCCACATGCCCCTACCTTTTCTATGTTTGTACAAGATTAGTGCTTAAATATGTGTATGGTAGGCCATGTAATAGTAATAATAATAAGGCTTTGTTTCAGACTGTATGTGAACACATACTACAGCAATTTTCAGCGTTCCGAAATATTTCATCTTCGTACAAGATTTACACGTAAAGTAATTGTCTGAATAATTTCACGTGACATATTGAAGCTCAAATGGCGAGAAAGAAAACAGCAATCACGAGCCGATCGCTCAACAAATATTCAGAAGAAGATGGAAGTGGATTGAGAATACTCTGAGAAGACCGTTGGGTGACATCGCGCACCAGACCATAGCTTGAGCGCAACCCGATTGGGAAGCGACGAGTTGGGTGTTCATCCGAGTGTGACATATAGAGGAGGTCGTGCGGGGAGGATATGAAAGACTTTAGACAATCGTGGACCCAGCTAAAGAGGACCACAGAGAATAGGACAAGGTGGAGACGTGCTGTTAAAGTTCTGTGTCCCACTTGGAACCCAAGGGGATAACAGTAAGGATGTCATGTGACATAGTGTTGTTATACATATGAAGAGAGAACCAGTTCTTTACATTTTTCCTTCATTTCCTTTAAGAATTGCGCACTGTTTCTTTGAAAGGTGATTAGATATGTGCACAAGTTCATGTAGCGATCATATGATATCATTGCATGATTAAAACAATAAGAACTGCTAAGGAGTTTAGGCATTTCAGTGCGTGGAGACTATGGTAGCTCAGTGATTTAAGTAAGCCTCTGTAGATAAGGAAAGGAAGAATAAATGTTTCCTACTCAAATTCATATACTCTTAGCAATAAACCATACTTATTTTATAGGAGCTCATGATACTAACTAGCTCCTGCAGCTTCTTCTTTAAAAAATACGCGGTTAAACCAGTAACCCAGTTGTTGAAAATCGAGTGCTTAACTGATAAATAACATCTTCAAAGGACAGGCCAGTAGGAAAAGATACCGATTCCATGTTGTGCAGTCTTACAGTACTGTGTAGATTCAGTTTATTCGATCTGAGATGCAATCACAAGGCGAAAAGATTCGGCATAAAGACGAATCATATCAAAATTTTAAAGGATAAAATCAATAAAAGATTTATTTCCTGATACGAATTTAAACAAGTAACACACATTGATAAAGCAGAATTCATTAGATCCTGCTTTCAGTGAAAAAAGATGACAGTGACACTATCTGTCTGTCTAGGAAGGTGAAAAGGATTTCGAACCTTTGAGTAATCAGTTGAAGTGAAAATTAAGTAAGTTAATCGGATGACGTAATAGTTGACTGGAAATTGGACATTGTTAATGAGGGTAGAGATTACAAAAGGGTGGGGTAGAGAATAATACAAATGAAGATGTGAAATAATAAAATGCAAAAGACAAAATAATACAATTAGTAAGACTGAAATTAAGAAAGATTACGTCCATTGTAGATTTAATGAATGAACGAATTTCTTTTGTATGCAGAGTTCAGGATTTAGCAGATGAATTGTCATTGCTTCTGCGATGTGGAGAAGTTTGATCCGTACACTTTTAGCAAGATTGCCTTGTATTCTGTAGATAACTTTGAAGTTTATCTCTGATTTGACTTAGTGTCCTGAATCGATCAAATGTTCAAGGATCGAGCTGCGGGGGCATCAGTTTTCTCCTTTATAAAACCATGAAGGTAAATGTTCGTTGACGCGTTTGGATAGCGAACGCTGAGTACGGCCGATATACCTGGCTCCACACAAGCAGGTGAATTGGTAGATGCACATAGATGATGCCAACAGCAGTAGCTTATCCTTCACGTTCATGCGAATCATTGGTCTCGTGGAGAACGTCAGTCGTAATTCAGCTGCAAAGAAGGTTTTCTTCAATGAGCGGGAGAGCCGATTTCTCAGTAATTCTGTAGATTGGTCTCCATTGAACTGTAGGTTCATATAGAGAAGTCTTTTTGGAGCACTGGGTGTGGGCGGCTTCTCTGGTTTGGGTTTCATTGATTTTGTGATAAATTTTTCTGGATAGCCATTTTCAAGGAGGATTTTCTTAAGAGTGTTCATTTCATCTTCTATGGCGTCCAGGCTGCAAATTCTACGTATTCTGTGGCTTAATGAACGGATTAGGTTTCGTTTAGTATATAGAGGCACCCAACTGTGGAAGTTAGTGAGCTGTCCGTTCCACGTTGGCTTTCTGTAGATGGATGTTTTTAATGTTCCGTCTTGTTAGCGTCTCGTTAGTTGGACATCAAGAAAAGATATCTTTGAGTTAGACTCTTTCTCTAGTGTGAACTGAATCGCAGGGTGGCAGTTGTTGAAGATATTGTGTCGCCAACGTATCTCTTGTAGAGTTCAAATTTGTCAATCGTATTCTTTATTATTATTATTTCCTTCAATTCCTAGAGGAACATAGGGCTTCAGCCGTGCGCCTCCATTGCGTTCGGTTCTCTGCTAGAGTCTTTACCTGGCTCCAAGTCTGTCCACACGTTTTCATCTCCTCTTCACATGACCTCCTCCAAGTCACCCTTGCACTATCAACCAACTCGCCGCTCCCCTTTCGGGTTCCACTCGAGCAATGACTTGTCTAGTGATGTCACTTGGTGGTTTCCTCAGAGTATGGCCAGCCAATCCAACTCCATTTCTTCCTGCCTATTTGTTTCACAATCGGTTCCTGGTTGGTTCGCTCCCAGAGATCCCTGTTGTTGATCTTTTCTGACCAGCCATCTGATCTTGAGTATTGAGCGAAGACAACTGTTAATGAAGGTCTGTAATTTGTTTGAGATGCTCTTTATGACGAGCCAAGTCTCTGATCCGTATTGTAGCACTGACTTCACATTGGAGTTGAAAATCCGTATCTTATTTTTGATGCTGAGTGCTGTTGACCTCCACACAGACTTGAGAGTAGTGAAAGCTTGTCTTGCTTTTCCGATTCTTGCTTTGATATCCTCGTCAGTTCCGTTCGCCTGTAGTTTGATTTTGATTTTTTATTACAGGTTGATTCCGCACCGTATTTTTTGGTACAGGTATGGAATTTTCAGCATGTGATATCGGTAGCCCAAATTTTGCAGGCCGACCATAGATATCAGGTGTGCGTCGGCAGGGGATCGAACCCCGGACCATGTGCATGATCGGCGAGAGTCATAACCGCTGTGCCACCGACGCATAAATGCATTATCCAGTAAACCACACCTCCAAATCCGAAAGCATTAAATAAGTACGCAACTTACATACAAATTTGAAAAGTATTACTGTGAAAGCATAATTTTCACAGAAAAAACAAACTCACTTGAGCTCTTATGATGAATCTGCAGGTCAACATCAAGCATAATACAATAGCATTGGATGCTTCTCTTAACCCATCTCCTGCACACAAAATGCCAAACAAGTGGAGTAACATCAAGACAAGCAGTACAACATTGCTGACATCTTGTGCGATACCTGGACAAGATGCAAGTACAACACCACCGACAACTTCCATTGCTCCATAAACTCGCCTAATTACATGAGGACTAAGATTCCATCCAGTCAATGAACTAAGCGGAAATGTTTGAAACATTCTAATGGAACTTTTTCTCACACTACGATATAACTCATCAGAAAATAATGGGGCTAGTTTCAATGTCCCGAAGAATATGAAGAATACACCTATAGCTATAGAAATAGTTCTCAGAGCGACGTTAGACATTCGGGAAGACTATGTTTGAAATGCTAGATTATAAATGAAAGTAGTAGACCTGCTGAAACGATGCTTCCCAGGTAGGTAAAAGAGGTTGTTTCTTTCAGGTTCCTCCCATTTATGCTGATCGTTGTCTGTTGTTGTTGTTCATGTCCAGAAATCTTCATTACCTCTGTTTTCTCTATGTTCACCTGCAGTCCTATCTTTGATGCTTCTTCTGCCAACTTGTTCTTTTCACTGGCATATCTTCCAGTTTGTGGGAAATCAGACATATATCATCGGCGAAGTCCAGATCCCCCAAGTTTTTTGTGTGAATCCATTTTATGCCTGTTTCCTCATTGCCCGCTGTTTGTCGCATTATCCAGTCTACTGCAATCAGGAAAATCATTGGCGATAGTAGGCAGCTAGCCTTGTCTTACTCCTGTCCTCACTTCGAAGGATTCCGTAAGTTTCCCGTTGTGGATTACTTGGTATGCAGCATTGTCGTACAGCTGTTGGATGAGACGTATAATTGTCGGTGGCACCCCATAGTAGCGAAGTAGTTGCCAAAGCACCTCTCGATCGACGCTGACGAATGCCTTTTCAAAGCCGATGAGGTTGAGATAGAGAGGTGACTGCCATTCCAAGCTTTGTTCAATGATGATCCGTAATGTGGCGATCTGATCAATACATGACTTGTTTCTCCTGAATCCAGCCTGTTCCGGTCGAAGTTTTTCATTCAGGGCTTGTTTGATTCTCTCCAGGATGATGCGGCTTAGTATTTTGCTTGGGATGGACAGGAGCATAATTCCGCTCCAGTTCTTGCATTGACTTAAGTCTCCTTTCTTTAGTAGTTTGAATAAGTATCCTTTCTTCCAATCCTCGGGTACTTTGCCTTCTTTCCACACCTTCTCCAGTAGTGGCGTCATCAAGTCCGCTGTTGTCTCTGAGTCCATTTTCAATGCTTCTGCTGGTATTCCATCTGGTCTTGCTGCTTTTCCAGCTTTTAGCATCTTGATTGCCTTCAGGACTTCTGATTTCGTCGGGGGGTTGATGTTCACTGGTAATTCTGTTTCCGTTGTTGGTATTGTTGGGCGCGTTGTAGGTGGTGGTCGATTTAGGAGTC